TCTCTTAAAATAGTACTTCTGTGCCGTTGAACTCTTGGGGTCAATGCTGTGTGTCACTTATTTCTTTGGACTCTTCCTTAAGAAATAACCCCCATATTACATAGGGAATTGCATAATACACCCCTTCATAAAAATTAAACCCCAACAATTTACAGAAACAAATTATTAAACTTACTCTCCCCCAAATGAAGGTTTTATTGCCAGCTCACAGCAGCCCTACTATATCCAGTTATGAAACTGATTTAAAAAAATATTAACCTTTCCACTTACTGAGAGTCCAAGATTTCAAAATATATTAAGAGATGTGGACTTATGCAACATGCTTAGCAATACCCAAGGTAGCCCACGTTCATCATGAAAATGGAGCCTTTCCACTAAAAGCTGAAGCTAAGTTGCTTTTGATTATTTAGGCCTTTATGATAATTGATCTCTGAAATACAAATTCCACTATCTTTTTACTGATAATGATAAATTTCACGATCTATTAACTAGAGGTTATATATTTATGAAATATATATGATAAAAACCTGATTGATGATTTTATCATTTTATAAATGATAAAAACCTGATTTTGGATCATTTTTGTATTGCAAACATTAATTTTTTTTCCAGGTTGGTTGTTACCATAGTAACTCCCTCCTTCTTAAAAAGTTTCATTGGTTAGGGCCAGCAAACAATCCTGTTCAAGATTTTAATGAACCTTCTATTGCTGAGGCTATTAGCTCAAACATAATTCAGTGTACTGTTAGGTCAGACGAGGAAATACCAAACCTGGCTAGTTGGAAGACTCTAATCTAAAGCTTTTGTAAAAATGCCCCACTTTCTTATTTTTACATAAAAGATTATTTGCTCAGGAACTAGAAAGTATTTTAGGTTACAGAATTAATGTGATTAAAGAAAAATGAGGAATTTGAAAACATGAGGGAAGAAGAAATTAACAAAATATCAAGAAAATTTGAAAAAGAAGCAAAAAGAACTTATAGACATAAAAATATAACCTTTGAAGTTAAAACCTGAATGGACAAATTAAAATAAACACAGATTAGACACAGATGAAGAGAGAATTATTGAAATGGAATACTGATCTGAAAAATTACACAGATCTGCAGCACAGAGAGATATGAATTGATAATATAAATGAAAGGTTAAGAGACAAAACATATCTCATAGGAGTTCCAGAAGGATGGAACAGAGGAAACAGAAAAGCAGCAATGTTAAAAGAAATAATGACTAGAAATTTTCCAATAATTTTGCCAAACATGAGTTTTCATGCCAACTACTATAAATATAAATTCACATTTAGATACATAATACTGAAACAAGAACATCAAAGACAATCTTAAAAGAATCAGAGAATATATTGCCTACAACCCAAAAAAATAATTATATTGAAAGGAGACTTAACAGCAACAATTAAAAATAATATTCCATTTCTTCTGACTTTTAAGTGCTGAGAGTAAATTATCAACCTGGATTTCTAAACTTAATAAACTAAGATATTTTTATACAAAAAAATCAAACTGACTAGTAGCTAAAAGAACTACTAAAGGATTTTTAAAAATGTTTTTAATTTTATATTTGAGAGAGAGAGAGAGAGAGCATAAGCAGGGGAGACAGACTCTGAAGCAGGCTCCAGGCTCTGAGCTGTCAGCACAGAGTCTGACGCGGAGCTCAAACCCAAGAGCAGTGAGATCATGACCTGAGCCAGAGTCGGATGCTTAACCCACTGAGCCACCCAGGTGCCCCAAGGATGTTTTTAATAAGAAGAAAATTGGATTAGAAAGAAGGAGCAGAGTGAAAAAGCTAGTGTTGGGGGGCAGGGGAAGCAAATACATAATGACAACTGAAAAATAATGATGATGATTAACCAAATTAATCATAATTATAAAAACAAGATGGAACCAAAATGCTAACTATGATAGCTTGTCAGTTGGGAGGAAGCTGATCAGAGATCCTTCTGATCATTCCAAGATCCTTGTATTATTTGTGAGAAAGGCAGAAATAGATTACTTTTAACCTGTTTCTTCATTCATTCAACAAATATCTTTTAAGGGCAGGTAAAACTAATCTGTGGTGATAGAAGTCAAAATAGTGATTACTTTGTGAGAGTTGTGACAAGGAGGGGACGTGAGGCATAAGGGAGACTTCTGGAGATGCTGGTAACATTCTACGACTTGGTTTGGGTAGTAGTGACATAGTTGTATTCACTTTGTCATATTTCATTGAGCTGTCTGCTTATCATTCATACGCTTCTCTGTATGTAATGAAGTATGCAAGTATATATTTCTATAAATTATAAAAGGAAACTACCGCACAATTTACTACAAAATAAAATTTTGATGGATTATAAAGCTATAACTTTAAATGCAAGTCTTAAAAATGGAAAAAATAGAGGTTAGCATTTACATAATTTTGGCTGGGAAAGAACTAAGAACGGCACCAAAGGCAGAAATCACTGGTAGTTTTGACTACATAAAAGTAAAAATAGGGGTGCCTGGGTGGCACAGTCGGTTAAGTGTCCGACTTCAGCCAGGTCACGATCTCGCGGTCCGTGAGTTCGAGCCCCGCGTCAGGCTCTGGGCTGATGGCTCAGAGCCTGGAGCCTGTTTCTGATTCTGTGTCTCCCTCTCTCTCTGCCCCTACCCCGTTCATGCTCTGTCTCTCTCTGTCCCAAAAATAAATAAAAACGTTGAAAAAAATTTTTAAAATAAAAAAAAATAATAAAAACTTTTATACAAAATACTGTGAATACTATCAAACGGATCATCAAACAAGAAAAAAGATTTGCTAAAATATGTAACAAATGGTCAATATCCTTAATTATACAGATATAATTAATAAAAATCATTGGCAAAAAATAACCAAATTGTAAAATGGGCAAAGAATATGAACTGGGCAAGTAAATAAACTTAAAAAAAAAAAAAAAGGAGTGCCTGGGTGGCTCAGTCAGTTAAGCATCTGACTCTTGGTTTCAGCTTAGGTCATGATCACACAGTTCATGAGTTTGAGCCCCACGTTGGACTCCGCACTGATAGCGAGAAGCCAGTTTGGGATTCTCTCTCCTACTCTCTCTGCCTCCCCCCACCCCCCACACCTGTGTGTGCACACTTGTATGTGCTCTCTCTCTCTCTCTCAATAAATAAATAAACTTAAAAAAAAATATGAACTAGCAATTCAAAAAGAGCTATATAAATGGCCAGTAAGCTCTAGAAAACTGACAAAGCAGTTAAGTAATTTGCCTAAACAGTAAGAGGGAAAGTCAGGATTCAAACTCTGGTAATCTTATCTTTCAATTAATATTTGTTTAATGAATGAATGATTATATACTTAACACTAAAAGATGTATACTTCATAGACTACAAAATTCAGGTCATAAAACAGAATGTATAAGATATCCCTTTCTGCTGATACACTCACATAAATCAGGCTCAGAAAAAAAAAGGTCTCACCAGAGTGGCTCAGTTGGTTAAGCATCCGACTCTTGGTTTCAGCTCAGGTTATGATCTCGTTGAGTTTAAGCCCTGCATTGGGATTCTTTCCCTCTGCCTGCCCTTCCCCCACTCATGCTTTCTCTCTCTCTCTCTCTCTTAGAATAAATAAATAAACTTAATTCAGAAAAAAAAAACGTGCTGGAAAGATCAAGGTGTAACAATGGTTAGATTATGGAAGCTTTTTTTTCTCTTTATATTTTCTGAATGAAAAGAATTTCAGAATAAATACATATTACTTCCATGATAAAGGGGAAAAGTTATGTTAAAAGGCCAAACAGCAATACAAACAAAAAAGAACACAAACACCTCTAAATGACTCCTGATGTATCCATGTGTTCCTGGCTCAGCATGGACAGATCTCTCAGCGCCCCATCATTAAATTCAACTATCATACCACGGTTCTCCATCTCCTCCTATCTTTCCTACTCTTAGTTTTTTGTTTTTTAAAGTTTATTTATTTAAGAGAGAGAGTGAGAGAGCGTACACGAGAGGGAGGAGGGGCAGAGCGACAGTAGAGAGAATCCCAAGTAGGCTCTGCCCTGTTAGCATGAGCCCAAGGTAGGGCTTGATTTCAAAACCTGTGAGATCATGACCTGAGCCAAAATCAAGAGTCGGATACTTACTTGACTGAGCCACCCAGGTGCCTCTCCTACCCTTAGTTTCCAAATTAATCTTCCTAAAATACTGTGACTCTCTTGTAATTTCTATTGCTTAAATACTTTCAATGATTCTTCATTTTCATTCTCAGCCTGGAATTCAAGGCCTTTCACAATTATAGCATTCAGTCAACGTTTTCACTTATTGTGCACATTCCAGCTGGTTGACTATTTGCTCTTCTTTTCCTATGCATGTTGCCTACAGCTTCTGTAACTTGTTCATGTGGTTAACTCTGCCTAGAATGTATTCTTCCTCTTCGTGTCCATTTTCTACCCATGGCTCAGCTTATGCACTATCTTCTCCATGAAATATTTGCTAATTTTTCTTAGTCACACTGAGAAGCCATGGCTCTTTAGTCTGTCTCTCCAGGCACTTACTTTGTTATTTTTTTCATGTTCTATCTTTCCTAACAGACAATGACTTCCTTGAAGTAGGATCTGTATCTTATTTATCTTTGTATTCTTCTTACTACTTATTGAATAAATGTAATTAATAAACAAAATAGAAAAACTCATGGAATTCAATATGATTATGCTTTAGTATTTTCAAAGTACCAGTCTGTGGCTATTAGATTTCTCCTTTTTTGAACATAAGAAATATAAAGTGTTAACAGTACAGGCTAGTCCTTATACTCTAGGTCCCTTGAACTAATTAAGTGATTTATGAACCTAATGGGAGTATAGATCCTTCATTTCACACCAAGTCTAAATTGCTAAATTGCTCTATGAACTGTTGCATTTTGGTCTAGAGCAGTTTACTCAACATTGACCTTACCTTTCCCACATAAAAGGAATTTAAGCTTTATTCTCTAGGAAGGGGAACAGAGTTGTAGGATGGAATGTTCTCCCTTACCTTTTTGTGTTATGCACTGTGGTTCCTCCCAGGACAATCCTCACTCCAGGAGTGGTACGGTTCAGGTTATAAACTGTTAGAGCCTCTTCATAGGTGGCTCCTCCAATTATAAACACAATGATATCCTGAGGTCTGCAATAATGAAGAAAAGTCAGTATCATAGGATAAGAGGGAAAAAAGGCAAAGATTTGTTGTTACTATGATATGCACAGTTTTAATTTCTAAATCTTTCATTTTTGGTGGAAGAAGCAGAATTAAAGCAGAATAGAATAAAAGGCTTAAAAAAAGTTTTAATTATCTGAAATTGGCAGGAAACAGAGCAGAAAATGCTGAATAGTGATTTGCTTTCTGTTTATGAGCGGATGTCTTATAATTTCTGTGCTGTGGATTTCAGAATAGCACAATAGTGTTTGCTAGAACCAAATGTAGAAATATTCTTTTATATTCAAGAGGCTTCAGAGTACTTCACTGTGACATGATATCAATATAGCAGTAATTTATGCTTGTACTACACAACTCCTTTCGTATATAAGCCCTTTATCAAATACTTAGTACAGTGTCATTACAATGGCCTCTGTCCAAGGACCTTAAAGTATTTTGGAAGTACTGGTATATTAGGATGTTCCCATAAGATGGAAACTAGAAACATTTAGTATTTTGAGTGTAAAAAGAGATTGGGACACATAAATAATGACACTTCTAGGAAATCTACCTCTTTGTAAAATCTTTGTTCTTGAATCCTTTGAAAAACCAAGAAAAAAAAAAACAACAACCCTGAAAACAAACAAATGAAAAACTCTTGTGTCTGGTTTTGATACTGGAGATACTGACACATCAACTCAGTCACTTGCCTCACTTATCCACTGTGTGGGTAGCACAGTGCAGTTTTATGTGTTCCAACCTTTATCAGAATGGCTTATAACAAAGTAAGTGGACCTCGGTGGGGAGGGGGTAAAAAAGTAAGGACCTCCTATTGGTCCCTTCTGTAGATACTCACAAGAAGGAGACCATATCATTCCAAAACTGTTAAAGTTTGCCTTGTTTTTTCTCATGCCATCAAAAGAAGATACAATTACTTAATTTTAGTAGGCAAGTAATTTTATTAAATGACTTAACTGCACATTATTTAAAACTACATCAAGCAGAAGCATCCATTTGGAGGTTATAGCACAAAATTAAACAGAAACATCTTTAATCATATGTGCTTATGTATAAATCATGAAAAAGAGGACCTACATTTCCTTTCTGTTCATCTCTTTCTTTTTTTTCTTCTTCTTTTTTTTAATTTTTTTTAATGTTTATTTATTTTTGAGACAGAGAGAGACAGAGCATGAACAAGGGAGGGGCAGAGAGAGAGGGAGACACAGAATCGGTAGCAGGCTCCAGGCTCTGAGCCATCGGCCCAGAGCCTGACGCGGGGCTCGAACTCACGGACCGCGAGATCGTGACCTGAGCTGAAGTCGGCCGCTTAACCGACTGAGCCACCCAGGCGCCCCACTGTTCATCTCTTTCTAAAACACCATGAAGGAATTAGCTGAGAGAGTATTTATTCTTATGGCACTTCATGGAAACAGAATCAGATATTATGACCATAATTTAAAATGTTCTGAGAATCTGAATTGCAGAGATACCCACTAAGAGGCTCCAGATGATGAAAAGGTAGTTGTTTTGCAACTAATTAGGTAGAGAGTCAATCATGACATTTCTGTGTGAACTTGGAACTTAAAATCATGCCTTTAAATACTAAATTTACTTTTTAAGACAAAATAAACTTCATTTAAGTCTACTTACCTGAAACAATGTACTTAGCACTACAACGCTTTAGGAGTTACTTGCTATTATATATTCTATAATCGTTTTTGTTATTTTAAAATATGCTATTTTAACCTAGATAAATGTTTGCATATGGTATAAAACACAAAAAGGAATACTATAAAAAAAGTGAGTTTCCTCCCTGCCACAGTGCTCTCACACTTCAATTTGTGTAGAGGCAAACACTACTACTTGAATCTTCTGTGTTCTTTCATAGATATTATCTATGGTATATATGCAAATATACACACATATACATATTCACATACATATATACACACACTACATATATATGTATATATATTTATAGCACACACACATAAATAAAAGCATTTTATGTGCACAGTTCTGCTCCTTGCCCTTATCTTGGATCTAGTGTGCATTTTATTTTGTTATTATTTTTTAAAGCTTATTCATTTATTTGGAGAGAGAGCGAGCACGAGCAGGGGAGGGGCAGAGAGGGAGAAGAGAGAGAATCCCAAGCAGGCTCCATGCTGTCAGTGCAGAGCCCGATGTGGGGCTCGGTCCCACAAACCATGAGATCATGACCCGAGCCCAAATCAAAGAGTCAGACGCTTTGTCAATTGAGCCACCTAGGCACCCTTTAGTGTGCATTTTAAACTTTGGTAGATGTCACCAAGCTGCTCCACAGATGTCATTCCGCCAGCAACTCAGGAAAGTGTCTATTTCTCCACAACCTTTCAAGTACCGTGTATTATCAAGGCTTTTGATCCTTTTTTTTTTTTTTAAGTTTTATTTTAGAGAGTGTATGTGAGCAGGGGAAAGTGTCAGAGGGAGAGAGAGAAAGAAAAAGAAAGAGAATCTCAAGCAGGCTCCACGCTTAGTGCAAAGCCTGACATGGAGCTTGATCCCATGACCTGGGATCGACCTGAGCTGAAATCAAGAGTTGGACACTTAACCGACTGAGCCACCCAGGCTGCCCAGTCCTTCTAAGTTGACTAAGTTGATCACTTGTTCCTCCTCAATATACTTTCTTCACTTGGTTTCCAGGGCATCACATTCTTGGTTTTCTTCTTACTTCATTAGTTGCTATTTTTCAGTGTTCCTCGATGGCTTCACCTCATCTCCTTGACCTCTTAATGGTGGAATGCCCAGAGCCCAGTCACTAGTCCTCCTTTCTTCTTCATCTACACTTACTCTCCAGATCTACTTTGCCCAGTGTAGTTACCACTAGCCACATATGGCTATTTAAATTAATTAAAATAAAATAAGGGTGCCTGGATGGATCTGTGGGTTAAGTGTCTGACTCTTTGATTTTGGCTCAGGTCACGATCTCATGGTTTGTGAGATCGAGCTCCATATTGGGTTCTGCACTGACAGCAAGGAACTTGCTTGGGATTCTCTCTCTCCCTTTCTGCCCCTCCCCCACTCACACGTGCTCTCTCAAAATAAATAAACATTTAAAAATTAATTAAAATAAAATAGTCAGGGAGCACCTGGGTGGCTCAGCTGGTTAAGCATCTGACTCTTGGTTTCGGCTCAGATCATGATCTCACAGTCGTGAAATCAAGCCCTGTATGGGGCTCTGCGCTGAGCATGGAGCCTTCTTAAGATTCTCTTCTTCCCTCTCCCTCTACTCCTCTCCTGCTTGTTCTCTCTTTCTAAAAAAATAATCGGGGGCACCTGGGAGGCTCAGTTGGCTAAACGTCCGACTTCAGCTCAGGTCGTGATCTCACAGTGTGTGAGTTCGAACCCCGTGTTGGGATCTGTGCTGACAGCTCAGAGCCTGGAGCGTGCTTTGGATTCTGTGTTTCCCTCTCTCTCTGCCCCTCCCCTGCTCGTGCTCAGTCTCTCTCTCTCTCTCTCTCTCAAAAATAAATAAAAAAAATTAAAAAATCAATCAATCAATTAATATTTAGTTCTTCAACAGAACTAGTCACATTTCAAGTACTCAACAGTCACATGTGGCTAATGACTACCTTACAGGACAGCACAGAGCACATTTCCATCACTGTAGAAAGTTCTATTGAGCCTACTGATTATCCCTAGATGATCACACCCAAGTTGTATGGTTTCTAAATACATCTTTCTGCTGATGACTCCCAAATCTCTGTCTCCAGCCCAGACAGACCTCTCTCCTAAATGCCAGCCTTAAATATCTATTTACTTGACACTTCTACTTGGATGTTTAACAAATTTCTCAACTCAAATGTTCAAATTCCTAACCTCCCCCAAGCTTGTTTCACCTATAGCTTTCCCCATCTTAGTTGATGGCCAGTCTATTCTTTCAGTTGCTTAGGACAAAAACTGGATTCATCCTAACTCCCCTGTTATGGCTGGAATGAAGCAGATAAATTAGAGACATAGTGAGAGAAAGAGAGGGAGAAGTAAGCATGGGCCAGACAATGGAAGGCCTTGAGTCTTCTAGGCCATGGGGGAGTCACTGAAGGGTTTTAACAGGTACCTTGATCAAATGTGCTTTTTTGAAGGACAATTTTGGCAGTTGTGTGAGAATGGACTGGGGGATGCAGGTAGGAAAAACTGGGAAACAAAAGGCTATTGTAAGACTTCTAGAAAGACATGGTGAAAAATGGAACTGAAGAAATACCAGGAGTGTAGAGAGAGACTGGATATAGAAGACACAAAAAATGAGGACTCTTCAGAATTTGGTCAATGATTAAATGTAGAGGATGAGGATAAAGGGAGAGGACATTATATGTTTAAGTCTTCTGGTTTTGGTGACTAGGTATAGTGGTTTAGGTTTGAGAAAGCAAGCAAGACTGGTTTACCGAAAATAAGACAAAAACATGTATTGGAGATACCTGTGGAGCATCCCAACAGAGACGTCCACTAAACATCTATCTGGACATTTAGGCCTAGTGATTTCCCTGAATACAAGTGGCAGCTGAAGCCATGGGAATAGAGTTCTTTTTTTTTCTTTTAACTTTTGAAGAAAGTTGATTTATTTTGAGAGAGAGGGAGAGAAAGAGAGAGAGGGATAGAGCATGTGAGAGGGGAAGGGCAGAGAGTGAGGGAGATAGACAATCCCAAGCAAGCCCTGCGCTGTCAGCGCAGAGCCAGACATGGGGCTCGATCCCACGAACTGTAAGATCATGACCTGAGCTGTAACAAAGAGCTGGACGCTTAACCGACTGATTCATCCAGGAGCGAGGAGTTCTACTTAAGGAGGTCGTGTGGTATGAGAAGAGAACCCAAAGACAGAGCTTTGGGGAATCTTTAACATCTACAGGCTAAGCAAGATGAATAGCCAGCAAAGGTAACTGAGAAACTATCAGAAAAGTAGGAGGAGAACCAGAAGGGAGTGGCCAATGGACAAGTGACTTTCAAGAAGAACAGAA